AGTGAATAATGCTAAATCCAAACTGACTTAAAACAATAAAAAAAAAAAAATGTAAAAAAGAAAACTATTAGTTCATTTCACTTCAATTCTGAAGAATTCATTAGCTGTTGGGGATTCTAGAAGTAGAATTACTAGATCAAAGAGTATATACATTTCTTATTTTATTGACACCCTTTCTGATTAAAAAAAAAAAAAAATTCAGGAGAATTTGGAAGAAAAGGGAAACCTGAAGGGACAATGGGAGAGTTCTTAAACCCACAAGGTAACAGTAACATAAGCACATTTCCTAGAGTAAGTATATGTCAACCCTGGTGACAAAAATACCAGTATGGCAGCTGTTAGGGACTCTCCAGTGCTCAAGCTAGACCTCTAAGTTATTTCAAGTTAAATTCCATACAATAAAAATTCAATATATTGATAAAACTGAGGCAGAACCACAGCATTTATTTAGATTTGACTTATAATTTTCATATCTGGCACTGGGTGTGATTCTCTTAAAATCAACATGTGGAGAAAAGATAATTAACATTAAATACATACATACACCTGTAAATGTATGTATATGCAGACACATCTTATAAACATGTCTAGACACCAAACCCAACCTAACCCAACCTACTGCCAGCCAGTCAATTCCAACTCATAGCAGCCAACCCTCTAGAACAGAGTAGAACTGGCCCAAGAGCTTCCAAGGCTATACATCTTTATGGACATAGATTGCCTCATCTTTCATGTGCGGAGCAGCTGGTGGGTTTGAACGCCAACCTTGTGGTTAGCAGCCAAATGCTTTAACCACCACACCATAGTTATGTCTAGAGACATAACTAAGTTTTTTCTATACCAGACTAAGATGCAACTTCAACTAGAATTTACGTCTAACATACCAAAAAAAAGCTCACTGAAATCTACTGTTGTTAAGTCCATTCCAACTCACAGCAACCCTATAGGACAAGACAGAATGGCCTTACAGGATTTCCAAGGCTGTAAATCTTTACGGAAGCAGCCTGCTACATCTGTCTCCCCTAGAGCAGCTGGTAGGTTCGAACCACAGGCTTTACAGTTAGCAGCTGAGTGCTTTAACCATTATGCCACTAAGACTTCTTATTTCTAACATAGCCAAGTATTTATCTCATTAAGGTTGAGTTGCTCCTATATGTAAGGAAAATTCAGAAATATGTATAGTATTATGTGTGCATGTCAGTACTTCACAATTTTTTCCAGTTTAAAGATATCTCTTAGGCAGGCAGAGACTCTGAAAGGATTGTGAGGATTAGATATACTTTTGCATATTTCTCCTAAATCTAAGTGTTATAAGCTAGAGTTTCATAGAAAACAGCCAGGCTTGTAAGGTTCATCCAGACAAAGTCAAGCTAAAGATGAACAAGAAAGTAGTACATGAAAGAATCTCAAGCCTCTGAAAGCAGTGAGATAACCAACAGAAGGCTCCCACTGACTCCCAAGTCTCAGTGTGCACTGGCTGTTTACAGCCTTACTTAGTGCCCCTCTTCACAGGTTATAAATAACTGCAAGGTGTCCTTGTCCCCAAGGAGACCCTGAACAGCCAACTCAAAGGTTAAAATGTGGAAAAATTCTCACACTGGATGCAACTTTTCTAGTAACAAAAAAATCAAAGAGCAGAAAAATGCCAATTTAAAAAAAGTGGTGGGGAATCATTCTCGTTTCCTGAAAACTATCCATTCTGTAAACATCGTTGACATAGACATATTAGCACAAGTTCCCACCCTAAAAATGTGTCCAAGGAATAATGAAATGCATGCTGTGCTCCAAATGCAGAAGTCTGTCCTGGATGGGACAGATGCCACCCAAATGCCTTGTAGGATTACAACTCCTTAGACCCTAAAAGATTTCTTGCGTTTTTATTTTGCTTTGTAATTTAGTCACACCACTACTAAGCTAAATATAAATAGATTTTTGTAGCAACGTTGGAGGAAAAAAATTCCTGTTTTCACTTGAATGGAGGATCTAACAGAATGAACCATGGCTGCAACAAGCAGAGGTTTCAACAAGCAGAGAGCTTGGTTAATACTTGTCAGGTGACTTGCCACTGCTGTTAATTACAGAATCTCTGTTAGGAAGGAAAACTCCTCCACCATTAAAAAAAAACAGGTAGGGTTCATCAGATTAAGCTTCCCCATACATCACTTTCAAAATCTATCACCTGGGAGATGTCTGAAATGCAACAATGTGCATCCCAATCAGGAAACAAATCTGATTATAAATGAGCTGCTTCACCTCAAAGTGGGTTTCAGTTCCAAAGGAAAACACCTCCAGAAAGGAAGTTAGAAAGGCAAAACCAAACAATCAGTAACTTCCCCATTTTAACAAATTACAATAATGTGTTGATTCCATTGAACGGGTTGGGCAAAAATCTCTAGGACCACAAATAACACAGTTGGGAAGAATGAAGATTTTTTTTTTAAAAAAAGCATCCCACATATTATCAAAGATTTCTCCTCTGGATTGAGAAAATTTACTTATTCTGAAACAAGAGCTGGAAAAGAATTTAAAAAAAAAAAAAAAAAGAGGAAGGGGCGAAAAACCCGTTGGTCAAGAATAAGAACCTACTTATTGTATATTTCTATTTCCAAAGCTGTTTGATATTTGAGAGGTTATGGTCTTTCACCCTCTCTCCTCAACTATGATTATAAGAATCTCAGAAAATCCAAATAGCAAGCAGAGGAAAGGCTTGGCCCTAACAGCCTAACAGCATTTAAGCGTCTCCAATCTACAAGGAATTCAAAAACAGAAGAGTCATTTCAGTGAAACAAATAAGCAAAGGCTGCATAACCCTAGAGAGTCCTATGGCCTTCGAGAAGCCAAATTCAACACACAGTTCTCTTGGGCCACCTATACTTTAGTCAAGCCTTTCAAAACTATTCCTTGCTAGCACAATTTGGCTACGGAAAGGGTTCACGGGATGCATTTCAAAGGAGAAAGGCTGAATTAGTTTTAGGGTATACAATTTGGAATAAATTAATTAATTTATAAAGCTGAAAAAGCCTACTTGCTCCTGAGGATTCGGTATACAACAAAGGCAACCAATTATGCTCAGCATTAACTACTAATATCCAGCAGCACAGATTCAGGTTCCCTGGGGACATTCTCTTTCAGAGAGCTACCTAGACCTCCCGCCAACTATGAGACGTCCAGCCACACGTTTGCTTTCATCTTCTCCTTTAATGGTGGTCTTAACTGGAGAAACCTGACTACTATTTACATGGGCCCATGCTCCTTACCTAGAAACCATCTGCAAAAAATACATCCCCCTCTTCTTCTAGAGGTATTTTAAAAAGCTAATTTCTACATTAACATTAGGGTTCTAACTGAACAAAATGGAACAAAGGACAGACAGGAAGTTCTTAGTTTTAAGTGTTCATTCCAAAATTCATGATGCAAGGAAAAAGTAAAACCACACAGGCAGACCAAACGGGAAAGTCAGACAGAATGTCTGCCTTAACTGAATTTCCTGGCTTCTGATGATTTGTGTTAGAATTTAAAAGATTAAAATGCAGTAACATCTATTTTGCCCAACTCTGTAAGAGAATGCATAAGCATTTAAGGCAAGAACTTCATACCACAAGGTAAAAATTTTAAGATGCCAGCCAGAACGGCAGACAGATTTTTAACTTTTTTTTAAAATTTTATTTTGATTTGGGTGAAGTTTACAGAGCAAATTCACTTTTCATACAGCAGTTCACTTATACTTTGTCTCATGTCATTGACCACAATTTACCACAATGCAACAGCTCCCCTCCCACCTCCTCCCCATAGTTATCTCTTCCCTGTGTCCATCCCTCCATACTCTCCTGCCACCTGAGCTGTCTCCCTATGCATAAGCAGCCCTTACTTCTCCCATGATTGTTCTCTCCAGGGCGTGTGTCTACTTGAGGTAAATGTTTAACTCACATGCCTGTACTTTGTTTGGCTGGAAACCACAGGTGTGGGTTCAATTCCAGACCTGAAGGGCAGCTAGGGGCCATAGTCTCAGTGGTTCCACCAGGCTCTATTGGACCAGCAAACCTGGTCCCCACCTTCTTCTTCTTTTTTTTTTTTTTTTGCCTCCAAATGATTTTGAGTTTTGTTCCACATTGTTCTCCCTCTCTATGCAGGATCTCCTACATCCCTTCCAAGTGGATGACAGTGGTAGCTGGGCACCATCTAGTTCTTCTGGTTTCATAGTTGTATAGGTTGCAGATCGGATGGTGTACCAGTCACTGGGACTGATTGTTTCCATTAATTTTGGTTTTCTTCTTTCTTCTTGACAAGGAGAGACCAATCGTTGCATCTAGATGGCAGCTTGCTAGCTTGTAAGATCCCAGTTGCTACTCACCAAAGTAGGAGGTGGAAAAATGTTTTTTATAGTATGTTATGCCAGTTGAGCTTGACAGACAAATTTTTTGTGTGTAAAAAAGTCACCCATGGAGAGATTCGCTTAAGGTACATACACAAAGGCAATCCGCTCAGAATCAAACCTCTTTTACGTGGTAAAATGAAGCCCATGAAATGCTTTAAGGTATCTCTATAAACTGTGATTTCAATTTCTTTTAAGATCTTTTCTAGAGAGATAGTTTGTTTCTAAGGGCTTCATATGTATTACTAATCACTGATTAAAAATTTAAATCCAAACATCTTTTCTCCCTTACACCATTAGTATAAAGCCTTATCCTATATACAGCAGTCACCAAAGATCCAAATAAAAACTCTAGTTTACTCCAGGAAAGAATATGTGGAGTAAAACTTATTTTGAAGCCACTTACAAAAAATGTTTAACAGTTTATAATGCTCATTATTAAAAAAATAAAACCTAACATTTTACCTCATACCACTTCAACTTTGCATACTATTTGCACTGAAATGAAGTTGACTGCACTTAGATGTGCATTTTTTAAAATCATAGTAAATACTTCTTTGCATCTTACTGTGCTTTCCTTCCTCATGATCTTAAACTATGTTTAAAATAAAACTTTGTAAACACTCACCAAGTCAAGTCAGTAGGAAGACTCTAATTTATCTGGTCTAACAGGAAATCTCTGTTGGAAACAGAGATGATGAATCAGACATCTGACTTAACTAAATTCTGAATCTCACACAAGTCTTTACTTACTTGGGTTTTTCTTAAAACGGAAAATCTCACAAAAGCTGCAGGTGATATTTGCAAAGAAATGACTAGTGAAAAGGATTTACTAGTCAAAATTACCATTCTTATATCTCATCACTAGCTCTGAATGCTCTTTTACTCTTTTCTCAAGAAGAGTATACTTAGAAATGAAAAGTCAGAAAAATCCAAGATAGTTCTAACTGGCTTATGTGAGTTCAGCAAAAATGAAATACGTGACTCGTCCCACATTTACAAGAAGGGAGTGATCACTTTTGTCAGCTACCTCACAGAATGTTCTAAGAATTTCTATGAATTTATCTTTACGTAAAATCATCTTTTTTAAAAAGTGCTCTGTCAGTAAGTCACACCAAAGCCAAGCACAGGTAAACAAAGCCATATATGCTATAACTTTAATAAGTAATTGCCACCATGAAGATTTTGTCACTAAAGACTGGATTAATTTTGATTACACAAAGCAGAGAGGTTCCTGTTGAAGACTGATGAGGTATCTTGGCTAAGCAACACCCTCTAATAATCTATCATTTCCTATAAAGTGGCTCAAAGTACACACAAGGATAAGAGGAGTGGTTACGAGGCTTTCTGGCGTCTAACCTGGGCAGAAAATTCTGGCCCTATCTCTCTTTTATGGGAAAATGAAGTACTGTATAAATCTTGGGCAACTGATTCCTTTAAAAAAATAATAATAATAATAACAAAAAACCTTTTATTGTGATTTGGGTGAAATTTTACAAAGCAGATTCATTTTACATTCAACAGCTCACACACATTTTGTTTTGTGACACTGATTACAATCCCCACAATGTAACAGCTCTCCTCCCACTTCTTCCCTGTGGTCATCCTTTCCCCATGTCATTTCCACCTATGCATTCCAGCCTCCTAGCGTTCTCCCTGTGCAAATGCTGCCCATCTGATTTCCTGTGGTTAACCAGCCTAGGCAACTGATTCTTCAAAAACAGAGCTTTTCCTGAAAACATGAATACCAATTTTAACTGGTATACCAATAAGAATAAGCTTTGCTTATGCTAAGAGATTCTGGTAAACCAAGTCTGGTTATTATCTGCTGGCCCTCACCCACTATCAGGTGAGCCCTCACCAAAAAAGCCGCTAAATTACTATGCTAAAATAGGACAATCTTGATCGGATACTGCAAAATAAAGCCTACAAAAGTCTCATGTAGCTCAGTTAAGAACAGTGGGAATCAGGCTGGATTCATTCAACAAATATTTACTGATCACCAACTGCGCGAGGCTTTCTTTGAGCAGCAGTGGTGAAAAGATGAAGTTCCTGACCCTCTAAAATCAGAGAGAGAAATAGTGTAAGGCTTTGTAAGGAACTACTCCTAGGCAGAAGATACCAACCAACCCTAACAAATGAAAATGTTCTGAATATCTGGGAATGTTAAAGCAGAAACGACGACACTTTGTCCTTTATTTTGTCGGGTTAAGATTTTGGTTTCTCAGAATATTAGTAAGGATACTCTCACGCTGCTTGTAGAAGATAAACTGGTATAACCACTTTGAAAAACAGTTTATCATCTAATAAAACTGAAGATATGTGTGAGTATGTATGTACATATAACAATTTCACTCCCAAATATACAACCTAAGGAAATTCTTGCACATGTGCATCACTTCTACACAACACTGATGAAAGTAACAAACATATTGTCAGGTTTTCAAAACAGACACAAAGGAACACATAAATATCATTCCATGAACACAAAGATCAGAAGCAGACAAAACCAAACTAAACTATGTTGGTTTGGAATGACTCCATAGGTGGTAAAATTATGAATAGGAAATGATCATCACAAATGTCAGAACAGTGGTTATATCTCATACTGAGCAACACTATGGGTAAAAATTTAGAAGGGGCACATAGCAGGTTTCTTTTGAGTGCTGGGAATAACATACTCCTAGGTCTACACCCAACAACAACTCTAATCGGTGGTTACAAAAGTATCAAATCTCCAACAATTCTCATCTCACTGGAGCAAAAGTTAAATCCCTTGCCAGGACAAAAAAGGTCCTGATGACCTGGACCCCATTACCTCTCTGCACTCATCTCTGACTATGTTTCCCCAAGTTTGCTATTCAGCCACACCGCCCTTCTTTGCTGTTGTTCCTCAAACAGAATAGACTCACTCCTGCCTCTGGGCTTTGTACATGCCATGTTCTCTGCCTGCATAATGCTTCCCCCAAGATGTTCTTGTCACCACTGTTGGTTTTCTCCATAAATGTCACCATTTCTGGGAGGCCTTCCTTGACTACCTCTCCCCAATAACCACAATCCTATTCCTCTTTCCTTCATTTCTCTCGTAGCATATAAAGTCATTTTACTGTAGCCTACAACCTACAGTTAAAACAAAACAAAAAATATCCTCACAACCAGACCAATAAGCAACATCACGATAAACAGAAAAAAAAGATTGACGTTGCCAAGGATTTCATTTTACTTGGATCTACAATCAATGCCCATGGGAGCAGCAGTCAAGAAATCAAAGGATGTATTGCATTGGTCAAATCTGCTGCAAAAGACTTCTTTAAAGGCTTAGAGGGCAAAATGGTACTTTGAAGACTGAGGTGTGCCTAATCCAAGCCATGGTATTTTCAGTTGTTTTACATGCACGTGAGAGCTGGACAATGAGTAATAAAGACTGCAGAAGAATTAACGCATATGAATGGTAGTGGTGGTGAAGAATATTGAATGTACCGTGGACTGCTGGAAGAATGAACAAATCTGTCTTGGAAGAAGTACAGCTGGAATGCTCCTTAGAAGTGAAAATGGCCAGACTTCACCTCTTATACTTTGGTCATGTTGTCGGAAGGGAACAGTCCCAGGAGGAGGATATCATGCTTGGTAAAACAGAAAGTCAGTGAAAAAGGTTAAGACATTCAATGAGATGGACTGAGATGGACTGACACAGTGGCTGTGACCATGGGCTCAAGCATGGCATCGATTTTGAGGATGGTGCAGGACTGGGCATGTTTTGTTCTGTTATACAAAGGGTTGCTAAGAGTCAAAACCTATGTGGTAGCACCTAACAACAACATCCTACTATATTTTTTAACTGGAAGAAATGTAAGTTCCACGAAGACAGGGATTTATGCTCTGTTGCTGTCCCCAGACAATGTCTGGCACATGGTAGAACAGAAATAAATACTAACTTAATGAATGACTGAGTCAATCTCCTTTTCTTCTGCGTTTCTATTCTTGAAAATTAGTAACTCCATAATTAAAAAAACAGAATATTTTCCCTGTGTGTGTGTCAAACTAATTACCAAAGATTATTTTACTAACAAGTTTCAGGTTTGCTCTTCTTAATATTACTAAATCATAGTTATGGGTTTTAAACAATTGATACAAATTTAAATGTGCCTAGCAAATGCACAATGCCTGTTTTTAATGATAACAACACCGTTGAGGGCAGTGAGACAAGAATGTTCACGTATTATGTAAATAGGTACAGTTATTATAGAAACTACTTGACTAAGTATTAAGATTGAGTGATTTACACTTTTTGTGATTTTTAAGTTTTTAAAATTAGTATCTTTTATTTTTATACTCAGAAAAAAGTATAAAGAAAGAATTACATAAACAAAATATAATTTAAAGGTGGTTCTTTAAATTTGGACTCCTGCAAAAACAAGAAAGGCTTCTGTTGTATTATCTAGATGACATATCCCAAGAGGTTGACTATAGTTAGAAAACATTTTTATTTTTGACTTAGGAACTATAAAAAAAAGTTTCACAGCAGAGTTTCCAAAGGGGGAGGAAAAACAGAACTCCATGGGGATAGTGTTCCGTATAAGAACATAACTTTCTTGTAAAGAAACATTTAAAACAAGAACATTTTTCTGCAGCATAAATGTGGGGCTGATATGATAAGGAGCAGATAGCCAAGTCTATTCAACTTATTAAAACAGCTTAAGGTCAATAACTCACTAAACAAATATGCCCATTGGTTGACAGGACAGACATTTCGGGCACACAGATAGATGTTGTTGTTATTGTTAGGTGCCATCAAGTTGATTCCAACTCATAGCGACTCTATGCACAACAGAACGAAACACTGTCCAGTCCTGCACTATCCTCAACAATACTTGTTATGCTTGAACCCATCATTGCAGCCACTGTGTCAATCCATCTTGTTGAGGATCTTACTCTTTTTTGCTGACCCTCCATTTTACCAAGCATGATATTCTTCTCCAGGGAGTGGTCCCTTCTGACAACATGACCAAAGTAGGTGAGACGAAGTCTGACCATTCTCATCTCTAAGCAGCATCTGGCTGCAGTTCTTCTAGGACACATTTGCTCATTCTCCTGGCAGTCCATGGAATTTTCAGTATTCTTCCCCAGCACCACAATTCAAAGGCATCAATTCTTCTTTGCCCTTCCTTATTCACTGTCCAGCTTTCACATGCATATGAGGCTACTGAAAATACCATGCTTGGTTAGGTGCACCTTAGTCTTCAAAGTGACATCTTTGCTCTTCAACATTTCACAGCATACATACACAGGCAGCAACAGAGCTAGATACTTTTGATGGAATTCTTCAAAGTTAAAAAGCAGGAATAAACCTAGATCCAAAGGGTACTTTTTAACCACAATACTTGTTATCTGAATACCCTAAGATGTGAACAGATCTGAGATAAAATGCACAAGCATCTGCTACTCTATAGTTATATTTATTATTCTGATTTCCACTTTAAGGTCTTTGTCTTGATTCTCTAATGCTGCTATAACAAACATACCACAGTGGATGGCTTTTTCAAACATTAATTTGTTCTCTTACAGTTTAGTAAGCTAGAAGGCCAAATTCAGAGTGCCGGCTCTAGGGGCTGGGTGAGAAGGACCCTCTACCTTGGCCTTCCAGCTCTGCCTCTTATTCCAGGCCCACTAGAGATGAAG